CCAGGCATAGTGGTTCGTGCCTGTAATCCTTGTAGTTTGAGGGAGGGAGAAGCAAGGGGATTGCTTGAGCCCAGGAGATTAAGACTAGCCTGGGCAACGTAGTGAGATGTTGTCTCTACCAAAAAAAAATTAAAATTAAAAAATTAGCCAGATGTGGTAGTTAGCACCTATAGTCCCAGCTACTTAGAGACTGAGATGAAAGAATCAGCTGAGCTTAGAAGGTCGAGGTTGCAGTGAGCTGTGATCATACCACTGCACTCCAGCCTGGGCAGCAGAGTAAAACCCTGACTCAAATAAACAAATATAAAATAAAATAAGATAAAACTTTGAAGTCATTGCTACATTTTGTGTTAGCTCTCAGCCTGTTGAGAAGTCTGGTGCTGTCTTGATTTCTGATTTTCTGTGCCTGACTTTTTTTTCTCTCTGAAAGTTTTTACAATCCCTGATGTTATGGAATTTAATAAGGATATGCCTTGTGTGGGCCAGTTTTTCTTCATTGAATTGGGAACATGTAAGTCCTTTTAATTTGTGGATTCATGTTCTACAATTCTATTTAGTTCCTTTTCTCTACTTTCTCTGTTCTCTTTTTTCTGAAATACATATTATTTGATATTGGCCCTCCTAGCCTGATCCTCTTAATTTTCTCATCTTGTTTTATCTTATTTTCTATCTCTTTGTCTTTCAGTACCACTTATTGGAAGATGTCTTCAGTTTTCTCTTCTAACCCTTACAATGTGCTTTTACTTCTGCTGTCACACATGTAATTTCCATAAGCTTTTTAAAATTCCCTGATGCATCTTTTTTTTTTTTCCTGAGTTGGAGTCTCACTCTGTCACCCAGACTGGAGTGCAGTGGCCGCTCCTGGCCACCGCACCCTCAAGCTGCTGGGCTCCGGCGATCCTTCCACCTCAGCCTTCCAAGTAGCCAGAATTACAGGCATGCACTACCACGCCCGGCTGATTTTTTTATTTATTGTAGAGATGAGGTCTCACTGCCCAGGTGGGTCTCGAACCCGCGGGCTCAGGCAATCCACTCACCTCAGCCTCCCAAAGGCGCGGGATTGCAGGCTGAGCCACCGAGCCCGGCTGATGCATCTTTTTAATAGCATCTTGTTTTTATATCATGACTGTGTTGTTGTACAGGTTTCTTCTCCCTGTGTTGTCTTGCTGCTCCTGAGTATCTTTTTCTATTTGTTTATTTATTGTTCTCTTTAAAGTGACTGATTTTCCTTGTGTCTGGCAGTCTTTAGTTGGTATTCGTCTTAAGAGTGAGGTGCATAGTGCTCACTGAAGCTACTTCTTGGGAAAGTGAGGCATGGGGTTTCCTTGTGTGAGAGACTGGTGATCATAGAAGAGCTCGGCTGTTCCACCAGCATCCCTCTCCAGCCGGTGTCTGTAACTTTCTTGAGGTTGATAAGTTTCCCCAAGTGGCATCTTCTGGCCTCTGTCCTGAGTAGTGTAGCCCTAGCTTGCCTGTCTTCTTAGAGTGGAGAGGGGAGGATAACCGAGGTGTTCTTTGTGTCATAACATGTGACTTTTCCCTGCTTCACCTGTTTTCAGTACCTCCCTGATTTCTGCGTCCTCCAGTCTGAGGTCCCTTGGGTCCACCCAGAGACCCCATGCAGTCTTCCGCCAGGGCTGGGAAAGGTGCTGGCCTAAGGGTATAGAGTAAGGCCAGATGGGGAGTCCCTAGGCACAGACTTTACCATCGCCCTGCTTCAGCCCTGCCTGTATACCCATCCTTAAGGACATCTTGCACTCCCTCTCCATTCCTGACCTGCCTAGCTCTGCAGACCCAAGTGGCTTGCTTCTTGGCAACTCTGTCTGTCATTCCCTGGGGCCAGCTGTGTGACTTTCCATTCTCACTGGTCACATCCTCTACTTTGCAGTTTTTGAAATGTTTTTAACTTCAGTTTTGCTGTTTCCTTTTCATTTCATTCTTTTTTTTTTTTGCAGGTATTTGGTCTTCCCCCCCCCCCCCGAATCCCCTACTCTCATTTTGGTGAGATTTTAGGAGGTATTGACAATAAATCGCTGTGTTTAATTTGTCTTGTCCAACTGGAAGTCTGTCTACATAATCTTTCCTATTTTCATTTTTAATGACTATACATATTTTGTCCAGTGAATGTACCATACTTTATTCATTTACTTATTTTTTGACGTGTAGATAACTTCTAATTTATTGTTGTTGCAGTCCTACAGAAAGCATCTTCCATTTTGATAGCTTTTTTGTGTTGGTTTATTAGAATAAGGATAAGGTAGAAATGTTTAAACACATCTTACTTTCTAGAAAGGGCTAGCAGTTTTGCGTATCAGTAGGGTATGTGATTATCCAGCTTACTGTGTTTATTGTATTGCTGCTACTTTCACCATATACAAGTCTTTTTGACAAGCTAAAAAGAAAGGTACCTTCTTTTATACTGATTAATTCTTAAATATCCTTCAACAGAATTGAAATACATGCCTGTTCTAAAAGCAATTATTCTACTTTCTTTAAATATTTATTCACAGTATTTATTAATTTTTTAAAAAGCAAATAAAAGTAATATAGTCATTATTTTTCATTCAAAAATAACAATATAAAAAAGAAAGTTGGCCAGACTTGTGATTCAGCCTGTAATCCCAGCACTTTGGGAAGCTGAGGTGAGTGGATTAGCTGAGTTCACAGGTTCAAGACCCGCCCAGGCAACATGGCAGGACCTCGTCTCTACAATAAATCAAAAATTAGCTGAGTGTGGTAGTACACACCTGTAGTTCTGGCTACTTGGAAGACTGAGGCAGAAGGATCATCGGAGCCCAGCAGGTCAGTGCTGGGGTGGCCATGAGTGTGCCACTGCACTCCAGCCTGGATAACAGAGTGAGACTCCAACTCAAAAAATAAAAAAGAAAATTGATTGCTGATAATAATTATTAACATTTTGATAATTGTGTGTGAGTGAGCTCGTGCATACAAATATCTATGTAATTTATATGCTTCCTATTAAAAGTAAGAATTATATATGTGACCTAGTGGCCTAATTTTTTCTTATTTATCATTGCTTTGTGAACATTTTTCCTCTCACTAATATAATTCTGAAACGTCTTAATTTTTGTCTAGTTCTCTGTGTGGCTATGCTGTTAAAAACAGTCTTTTTTTTTTTTTTTTTTTTTTGAGTTGGAGTCTTACTCAGTCACCCAGGCTGGAGTGTAGTAGCACATTCACGGCCACCCCTGCATTGACCTGCTGGGCTCTGGCGATCCTTCCACCTCTGCCTTCCAAGTAGCTGGAACTATAGGCATGCGCTATCGCACCCGGCTAATTTTTGATTCATTATAGAGACGAGATCTCGCCAAGTTGCCCGCAGTTCAGGCTGATTTTGAACCTGCGGGCTCAGGCAATCCACTCACCTCAGCTTCCCAAAGTGCTGGGATTACAGGCTGAGATACTGAGCCCAGCCTAAAAACATTCTTTAAGGCCAGGTGTGGTGGTTCAAGCCTGTAATCCCAGCACATTAGGAGGCCAAGGCAAGAGGATTGCCTAAACTCAGAGATTTGAGACTAGCCTGGACAACATGGTGAGACCTCATCTCTACAATTAATCAAAAAATAAGCCGGGCATGGTAGGGTGCCTGTAGTTCCAGTTACTTGGAAGGCTGAGATGGAAGAATTGCCTGAGCCCAGCAGGTCGAGGCCGCAGTGGCCATGAATGTGCCCCTGCACTACAGCCTGGGTGACAGAGTGAGACTCTGACTCAAAAAAGAAAAAAATATTCTTTAACCCCAAAGATTATAGCGTGTCATGCTGTGAAAGTATAATCAATAATTTATATATTAGAAGATTATGAATGTGCCTACTCCTCTCACAAGTTGGAGGAATTTAAAGCTTACTGCTGCCTGTTGTCATGTACTCTGCCCTAAGCCCTCCTCCTGAAGATTCAGCTTAGTGATCCCCGCTCTCCCATGTCTTCCCAGCTGGTGCTCTCCCACGCCTTCCCAGCTGGTGCATGACATTAGTTTTTCTAATCCAACAAGAAGCTGTGAGGTGTTCCTGTGATGTGTAGACTTCTGTTTTTTGGTTAATATCCATGTTCTGCTCTTTAGTCTATGAGTTCTTGTGGGGCAGCCAAGGCTCTCTGTTGTCTTCATTTTCCCCGATGCTAACTTCCCATAGGGTACCTGTTGGAAACAATACTGTGAAGTCTATCAACACCGATGTGTCCAGAGTTTTAACTCAGATGTTCTTCCACTCATACTGAAGGAGCTTAGGGAAATGTGTTGCATTTAGTGTACATTTTATTTATTTATTTATTTATTTATTTATTTATTTATTTAGGAGTCCAGATCTCACTCTGTCTCCCAGATTGGATTTCCTGGGCTCGGGCAATCCTTCCACCTCAGCGTCCCAAGTAGCTGGGACTACAGGAGTGTACCACCATGCCCAGCATTTCTTTTTTTTTCTTTTTTTACCCAGTCTGATCTTGAACTCCTGGGCTCAAGCAATCCACCTTCCTCAGCCTCCCAAAAAATGCTGGGATTATAGATATGAGCCACCATGCCTGGCCATATATTTAAATACATACAGAATTCACTGTTCTCATCACACATACACATTTTATAAAATATTATTTAAAAGCTATTATTTCTTAATTATATTTTCATGACTCACATGCAATACAAGTTGTCTCTGGGGACATCCAGGTCCTGTCACATCCTTGTCCACCCTGCTCCTCTCCTCTTCCCTATATAGGTAATTACTTTCCTAATACACTTCTAGTGCTTCTTTATGCAAAGTAGCAAAAATGAGTATCTGTATTCTTATTTCCCCTCTTTTTATTCAAAAGATAGCGTCCTGCTTACAGTAGCCTACCCTTTGGGAGTTTCACTTGGTTATCTCGGAGCTCTTTTGTAGTGGGTTGTGGGGCATTTTGAGCATCCGATGTGTAAGCTGTTGATCAGCCATCCCCTACAGACAAGCACCTGGCCAACAATGTGGTTTTTAATCTGTGTTTTTAAACTCCTTCAGGTGGACATGGACAGGAGCAGTGAAGTGCGACTCATAGAGCTGGATGAATCTTTCAAAAGTGAACATACTGTTTTTGTAACACCGCCTGAGATCCCTTATCTGCCTAGTGGTGAAGAGCCCCCTTTACAGTACAGGTACTCAAGAGGCAGAATGTGTGAGTTTAAAGAGGAGCAATCCAGCACCTGGGCCGTAGCTTTCTAAGGACTGTGGTATTTTCAATAATGCAAACTTTACAGATCCCTAATTTGTAGGTGGTAAGCAAGCTAATCCCACATCCATTATTACATTTTGAGGTATAAAAAGAAAAATAGCTCATTTTGCATAACAGACTTGGGAAGCTCTCTAATGATGTCTGCATAAGTATGTGTCTTTGTAAATGTTCACTGTATCCAGTTAGACTTCTAGCTCCCTGCAGCCCCCTATATCCTCCCATACACACACTGATTAGTGTAGCCCTGGTTTACAAAAAGATCAAATCTAATTTAGAATCAATACTTGTGGCCCTGATTTTACATCGTATAATTTTTAGGCTATTGTGTTTTTCATGAATTTTCATTTTAAGTAATGAAAATTCAGAACTACTGGAATTGATCATTGTTAATTTAGGAAATTTGGTTAGACATTATGCCAACTGCTTGGTATGTAAACTTGAACGATATATTGTCTCAGTCTTCAAGTCTAGTGGAGAAGAGAGAAAAGTCCTGAGCACAGTAAAATAAGGGCTATGATAGAGGTAGCGTCATTATTTGGTTTCTAGTATCCATTTATTTTTACTTAAAATTGTATTTTCTTTTAGAGTTGAAATGATTTTTTGATTTTTCTAATAATTCTTACTTTAAAGGTTCTAAAACCATTTCACATTTATCATTCATTGAGTCACGGTTTGTTATTTTTGCTGAAAAAAGGAGTGTTTAGGGCATCCTTATATATGACTTGGATTAAATTCTGCATTTTACAAATGAAACGTAGAGTGGTGTGATGGATGTTTGTGGATGTTGATTAATTCAGAGGCCACTTGTTTTCTGCTCTTGGATGATGCTTGTCATGTCACTTCTTACATCTGCTTTTTGTCAAAGATATTTAAAATATTTCTCTCTCTCTCTCTCTCTCTCTCTCTTTTGGTATCCCTGGGTGGGCACAAATAAAATATTTGTTCTAATTTCTCGCTTCCTTTCTTCTTTTTCTTTCTAAATACTATCTTATTTCTTTGAACTCTTGCGTATTTCATACTTTTTAGTCTTCTTTTGGCATGTTTCACTGTTGTGACTTTACTTTTCTTTCTGTGGTTTGGTTTTAACTTTTTTTTTTTTTTTTTTTTAAAGATTCAGAGGGCACATGTGCCGGTTTGTTGCATGGATATATTGTGTAAAGCTGGGGTGTGGGCTGAACCTGTCACTTGAGTAGTGAACATAGTACCGAGAAGATAGTTTTTCAGCCCTTGTCCCCTTTTCTCCCTACTCCCTTTTGGAGTCTAGTGTCTGTTGTTTCCATCTTTTATCTGTGAGTACCCATTGTTTGTACTGTGTGTACCCACTTAAAAGTGAAAGCATGTGGTGTTAATTTTTTTTTTTTTTTTTAAGTAGGAATCTCACTCTGTCACCCAGGCTGGATGGCAATGGCACACTCCCGGCTACCACAGCCTCAACCTACTGAGCTCAGGCGATTCTTCCACCTTAGCCTTTCAAGTAACTAGAACTACAGGCACACGCCACCATGTCTGGCTAATTTTTTGATTCATTGTAGAGATGCGGTCTCACCAAGTTGTCCAGGCAGGTCTTGAACCCGTGGACTCAGGCAGTCCTCTCACCTTGGCCTCCCAAGGTTTTGATTTTTTGTTGCTGCATTATTCACTTAGGATAATGGCCTCCAGCTATATCCATGTTGGTGCAGAGTACATGATTTCATTCTTTTTGTGACTACTTCGTGTTCCGGTATATATGTACCCCATTTTCCTTATCTGACTCCCCTGTTGATGGGTACCTAGGTTGATTCCATGACTTTGCTATTGTGCATAGTGCTGCAATAAACATACGAGTATAGATATCTTGATATCTTTTTTGTAGAACAATTTCTTTACCTTCGGTAGATAGATGGTAATGGAATTGCTGCGTTAAATAGTAGTTCTATTTTTAGTTTTTTGAGAAATCTCCAAACTGTTTTCTATAGCATTTACATACCCGCCAACATATATGAGCATTCCCTTTTCTTCATATCCTCGACAACATTTTTTATTTTTTTTACTTTTTAATAATAACCATGCTGACTGGCGTGAAATGTTATCTTGTTGTGGCTTTAATTTACATTTCTCTGATGATTAGTGATATTAAACATTTTTTCATGTTTGTTGACTGCTTATATGTCTTTCTTTTAAGAAGTGTCCATTTATGTCTTTTACCTATTTTTTAATTGGATTTTTTTTCTTGTTGATTTAAGTTCTTTATAGATTCTGAATATTAGTCCTTTGTTGGATGCATACTTTATAAATATTTTCTCCCATTCTATAGGTTGTCTGTTTGCTCTGCTGATAGTTTCTTTTGCTGATGGTTTTAACTTTTTAATTTAAATTTTACTTTTAGATTTAGTCCTTCAACAAGAATAATTACATAGCTTTAAAAGTTTCCATTTTTTTAGAGTCTAAGTCATTTTTTTCTTGAGGCTACTAGTATAATTTTGGTGTATTATTAACCAGCACTGGGCCAAGCAAGTAGTTCATGCCTGTAATCCCAGCACTTTGGGAGGCCAAGGTGAGAAAACCACTTGGGCCCAGGAGTTCAAGACCAGCCTGGACAACATAGCAAGACCTTGTCTGTACAAAAAATAAAACAAAATTAGTGAGGCTTATGACACGCACCTGTAGTCCCAGCTACTCAGGAGGCTGAAGCAAAAGGATCACTGAACCTGGGAGTCTGAGGCTGTAGTAAGCTATAATTATGCCCCTGCACTCCAACCTGGGTAATGGTGAGACCCTGACTCAAAAATAATAATAGTAGTAATAACAACCCCATCACTGGAAAATAACTGAAATGTCCTTGATGAGCACAGAGAGCCCACCTAATCAGACTCATGGGCTTTGTCTGTATAAGGTGTGTCCATAAGGCACACAGTGTTCTTACGATCTCATCATGTACATACAATGCATTTTTTTAAGGGACACAGTTTTCCTGGATTTCTTTGCAGTTTCTTACTCAAAGTAATTGAATCATTACTAATATTTTCTTACCCTACAGAATTTGACTATAGTAATATATAACATATTGTTTATCCTCTTTTAATAGTTAGATCTCTTCTTAGTTCATTAAAACTATATGCCTTTAAGAAACGATTGTATAGTATTCTCAAATAGATTAAGTTTGTTGCTTGAGACTTCTGTTCTTTTCAGCGTTATCATTTTTCTAGCTGATGGCTTTCACTTATGTATTTATTTAGATATGAAGTCTCACTTTGGCCCAGGCTGCAGTGCAGTGGTCATTCACAGGCACAGTCATAGCTCACTGCAGCCTTACACTCTTGGGTTCAAAACATTCTCCTTCCTCAGTCTCCCGAATATTAATAACTTGGACACAGGCACACAGCAACTGTGCCCAGTCTTGTTGCTACCTTTTGAATGCCCAGAGCACCTTGCTGTAGCACCTTAATTAGGTCTACCTCCTCAAAGAGCTACCTGTAGGAACCTTTGCTTCCTCTTCTTTAACTTCCTCAATTGTCTTTCTCATAAACGAGGCCTAGAACCTGCTAACTAACCCGATAAACCAACCCTTGATGTGAGAGCGAGGTGTGTTGTGCTGCTGTATTAAACCTCAGGTGGTTATTTGCATCTTTCTTCTTTTTTTTTTTTGAGTTGGAATCTCACTCTTGTCGCCCAGGCTGGAGTGCAGGGTCACGCTCATAGCCACCACAGCCCCGACCTGCTAGGCTAAGGCAATCCTTCCACCTCAGCCTTATAAGTAACTGTAACTATAGACACATGCCACCACGCTTGGCTTGTTTTTGTGATTTATTGTAGAGAGGAGGTCTCACCAAGTTGCCCAGGCTGGTCTCAAATCCCCGGGCTCAGGCAATCCTCTTGCCTCGACCTCCCAAAGTGCTGGGATTACAGGCTGAGCCACCACACCAGGCCTTACATCTTTCTAAGAGGGAGGTTCTGCAGTAAATATGCTAATCCAAAGCAAAAGCATTAACGATTTCCTATTTGTATGGCACTAATTTGGTGGGTCCTTCACCACTGTCATATTATCTCATATGTTGACTGTGTAATTACATGAACACTAACTTTTAAAAGTTTGCTTGAGTTGCTTTGGAGTTTGATATCAAGTTCAGGAAAATGTAAATGTATTTTCCTTTTTTCTAAAAGACATACATGAGTCTGTATTTGGCTATTACATGTATAAATATGATAGTAAGAAAAGCAACTTTAGCATGAATATTTCTTAAGTATATATCGTAGTCTGATGGAGAAAGATAGTTAAAATGAATTCTAAGTTAAAAAGTTAGTTGTCATAAATTTTTTAGCTTGTAACCACTATGATCATCTGTGAGTGCTTGAGAACTTTTTTTCCTTTTCTAAAACAGCTATAATGGATTTCCAGTTCTTAAGAACAATTTATTTGAGAGACCTGAAGGACTTCTACAAGCACGAAAGAGCAAATTGCCTTCAAAATCAAGTAGTCCTAGTAGCCCTTCTCCCATGTTCAGAAGAACAAAACAGGTGCTTTGAATATTTTGCCTTCTTCGTGTCATCAACTTGTTTCTTAGAGCAAGAAACAAGTTGAATATTTATCATACTTTAATGTACCTTACCATCCCACATAAAGTCTGTTACTAGATTATTGTGTTCCCCCAAGGCACTCTGAAGACAGAGTAATCTGACTTCAAGACACTGACCAGTTCTCTTGTCCTGGAACTTTGTTTTACATGTTATTTAATTAGATCCAAGCAGAGAGTTGAAAATACTTTAATTATAGACTGATTTTGTTATGGAAACATTATGACAGCACGTGTCTTAGACATGCTCAGTTAAATGAAGATGCCTCAGTGTATAAATTTATTAATAAGAATCCTGTATTTTTTCTAGGAAATTAAATCAGCCCATAAAATTGCAAAGAGGTATTCTTCCATCCCCCAGCTGTGGTCTCGGTGTCTGCTGCGTCACTGTTATGGACTGTGGTTTATTTGTCTCCCAGCTTATGTGAAAGTGTGTCATTCAAAAGTCAGAGCGCTGAAAACAGCATATGACGTGCTAAAAAAAATGCAATCAAAGAAGATGGATCCACCTGACGAGGTAACAGCTATTGTTCAGGGTGCATTATTTCACTTTGGACTGATGGATATAGTATACCCTTGTTCCTTCTCACGCTGACCTGTGTTTCAGGTGTGCTACCGCATTCTCATGCAGCTGTGTGGGCAGTATGACCAGCCAGTGCTTGCTGTTCGAGTGCTTTTTGAAATGCAGAAGGCCGGTGTTGACCCCAATGCCATTACTTATGGTTATTATAATAAGGTAATTAATTTGATTTAATGGAGAAAGAGGATTATATAAAGAGGATTATTTTTGTCATTTTTGTCATCCTTAATATAACAGCAGAAATAATCTATGCAGGGGTTATTTGGCATTTGTTTTAGTGTGTATGAAATATATTTTATTAGTCAAGTAAGACATTTTTTTCCCTTTTGTGTTGTTATACAATCTACTTTGATATTCTTTGGCTTGATTTTGAAGCCAGTGTGTGTTCATTATAAGAATTTTTACTGATGATTTTATTTTGTTGAATGAATAGGCTGTTTTGGAAAGTACCTGGCCTTCAAGAAGCCGCAGTGGCTATTTTCTTTGGACAAAAGTAAGAAATGTTGTTTTAGGAGTGGCACAGTTCAGAAGAGTTTTAAAGAAACATGCACACTCATCACAGACAGCTCTCTCAGGTAAGGGATGTGTGTGTTTACTTTTTCTCCAAAATTAATTGGTTACAGCTTCCATTTTTAGGAATTTTAAATAGTTTTAAGATATTGACTATTTTTTTAGTTTTTATTATCATAAAGCATATTCTAATATTAGAATACTCTTCCCATTAAAAAAAAAATACCAGATTTCACCTGTGTTTCTACTTTTGACCATCTTTATGTAGTCTTGTTTTAGTGTTGGTTAATCACTCACAACAGATTTCTTTGTTATAGTTGTATTTTGCTAAGTAGGTGGCTCTTTTCATCTTCAGTATTACTTAAGTAGATTATCAGCTAAGTGACACATGACTATGTATTTCTGTTCTCCTTGAGTAGTAAAACACTGCATGTTGTGTTCCCAAGCAGATGGCAGTGATCTGGATGCTGTTAGTCATGGCAGCATGGACAGTGGTCATGGGACTCACACTGTGGAGAGGGCACCTGTTAACATGGGTACTATCAGAGCATATGCTGCTGAAGATAGAGCTAGCACAGGTTTGTGTATGCTTCATGTACATTAATATAGCACACTTTTAAAGCTAGATCTGCTAGCCTGTATTTTTTATTCTTTTTTTGTTTGTTGTAAGTCAGAGTCTCTGTCACCCAGGCTGGAGTGCAGTGGCATGCTCATGGCCACTGCAGCCTCAACCTGCTGGGCTCAGGTGATCCTTCTGCCTCAGCCCTCTAAGTAGTTGAACCACAGATGCATGCCACCACACCTGGCTAATTTCTTTTGATTTATTGAAGAAAACAGGTTACCCAGACTGGTCTCGAACCCCTGGGCTCATGTAGTCTTCTTACCTCGACCTCTCAACTATATTTTTTAAATTTTCATTTTTAGTGATGTGGTTGACTATCACTTTTCACATGTTAGGTATTTGATTTGCTATTGGACTTAATATAACTGTATGAAATTTTACTCATTCTTTATTTGGATACAAAGAAAAGCTTAAGCATTATAAAGTACTCTATACAAGTATTAGTTCATGATAATCCAATTAATTCTGAATAGCACATAGATCCCTTTACTGTATCATTTTCTTAAGATAAATTCTTTGAAACTGTGAAACTGTTAAGCGTTAAAAAAAAAAAACCACATAGCTCTGTATCAGAGCTAATAGTATTGTACTGACATCAGCTTCCTGATTTCAGCAGCATGCTGTGGTTATATAGGATACTGTCATTGGGGAAAGCTAGATGCAGGATACTGAGAAACTTGCTGTACTATACTGTTGTTACAACTTCTTCTGAGTCTTAAAACTATGTTAAAATTAAAAGCTATAATAAAATTTTAAATATAAAACACATAGCATTGTAGCATTGAAGATGACATTAATTTCATAAATATAAAATTTACATATAAGCTTATCCTAACCATTATTATAACTGAAACACTTAAAACTAAATTATTTGCATAACTGTGTCTTTGTCCTCATTGGATTTTTAAAATTATGCATGAATTCTGAATATAGTATAAGAGCAAGCTATTAATGGACAGAAACCTTAAAAATTGAAGCATTACCAATACAGTGTGGAGCTCCCACCATGCAGTGGCAACCTTATTTTGGTGTGTCTCCTTTTGTGCCTATTTTTAAGATGAATAAATGTAAGCTAATTGTGTTGAAATGTAGTATGCATGGTTATTCTTCCTTGACTGGTTCTAGTTCTTATTATGCAATGTGAATTTAATTGGAGTTGTAGTAGTCATTCTCAGGCATTATCTCTCAAAAGTGGAGAAATCTATCTCTTATATTTAACTGTGGGTTTTTAAAAGGCTATCCTAAAAATAGTGTGGAACCTAATGAAACTGAATCTCATCAAGATAATCTTCAAATTTTTCTATTTGTAGCTCTTTGGGAAATGGGCCTGAAGTTACAAAATTATAGCAAAGTATTAAGGTATATACCTCATGATACTTAATATAATTTATTTAGTTAGTGCTTTACATGTTTATAAAGCCATTTCATATATAGTCTCACACAGTCTTAACAACCTTTTATTTTGCACATTTAGGGACTTGAGAACTAAACAAAAAGGTCGTGGTTTACTTAAAATCATATCTCCTAAAATAGAGAACTAGGGTGCAAAACCTTATCTTTAAAGACTTTTGTAGTGAAAACAATTTGCTAAAAATTATGCACAGCCTCTTTAACAAAAAAATGTAATAGATATTTTCTTATATTGATGTAACTTTTGGTCTTCTTAACAGTAACTTTGACACTAGATTTTCATCTCATTTCCGTGTATTTGTACTCATGTGCAGTTTAGTAATTACCAAGTTGAAATTTTGAGAAATTAATTACCTATCAGTAAATTTTAGGAAACTCAACTTTTTGGTAAAAACATGTAGACATTCAACTCCAGTGATCTGTGAATGAGTGTTCTCTTATAAATTCCAGACTTCTCTTCCCCATTGCTTGGTTGGGACTCAGATCTTCGTCTAGAGGAGTCATGAGCTCATATAAAGCATGTCTGGTCTATCTGTATCTTTTGGAGTACATGCAGTCACGTGGATGTACATGGTTACTTTTGACTGCAGTGTGGAGCCAAAAGTAAATTATTTTGAGATTACTCCTTTTTTACATTAATATAGGAGATAGGGAGGGAGTAATTAACAAAATAATGCTTTCAATTGGAAGTTATCCAAAACAGATTTAGAGGTAAATTCAGCACTAATATGCTGCTTCTAATTCCAGTTGTCTCATTAAAGAAGTTTATAATAAGCCGGGCTCGGTGGCTCAGCCTGTAATCCCGTGCTTTGAGAGGCTTTGGTGAGTGGATTGCCTGAGCCTGCGGGTTCGAGACCTGCCTGGGCAACTTGGTAAGATCTCATCTCTACAATAAATCAAAAAAATTAGCCGGGTGTGGTAGCGCGCGCCTATAGTTCCAGCTACTTGGAAGACTGAGGCAGAAGAATTACCGGAGCCCAGCAGATCGAGGCTGCAGTGGCTGGGAGCAGCCACTGCACTCCAGTCTGGGTAACAGAGTGAGACTCCAACTCAAAAAAAAAAAAAAAGGTTTATAATAAACAGCATAGGCCTTTATTTTGTTTTCCAGGTGGCCAGTCCGATCTTGGATATAATTCACTTTCTAAGGATGAAGTTAGAAGAGGGGATACATCTACTGAGGACATTCAAGAAGAAAAAGATAAAAAAGGGAGTGACTCTAGCTCATGTATGTATTAAGTAGATATTGTATGAAGTTGTAAAGGAGTGATTCAAGCACCTGTGGATATTAGGGTAATATTATATGAAACTGTAAACTATGTTAGTGTTATGTTACTGGTTGGTGTTAACACTGCATCATGGGAGGGGTCATCCTCCTTGTGACTACCCCCAGGTGGGAGGGTCCCAGTGTCAGGCTGTTTTAAGATTAGCCCGTGGGATTTCTAAGCAAGGATAAGTACCTTGGCTCGTAGAAGTTGAATCAAGGGGAGTGCACATCTGTGAAACTGCCATAAAAAGATTGAAAGCTGTATGTATTTAATGGTTGCCAGTGTTGGTCTATATGCTGTCCATATTCTCTTTAGAGATTTTGCTCAATAAATTTTAGTTACTCAGTACAAAATAAAATTGTGGACATATATTCACAGAAAATACAAATGACTTTATGAAAGTATTACTTTCCGTTTTCCCATTATAGCTTTCTTTCCTCCCATCACAAGCCCTCTTCTCCACCCAATACTTCCGTTAAATGCCATATGTGTGAGGTATGCAGACTCAGTGGCAAAGTACTCTCCAAGTCAAGTGCTGTTGGGGAGATGCTGCCTGACTCCCAGAATACTCTCGTTCTGGCAGAACTGTGTATTCCTTGGAACAGCAGCTCTTTTCTAAGGCTTAACAGTGTTTTTGTTTGAAGTTTGTTAATGAGCTGTGACTTATATTTACCCCCTTTGCTCCCCCACCAAAAGCATTCTTTTGCAACCAAAGAGGAAATATAAAATCTGCCTGGACTTCGTGCATAATTTGTGGTAATTTGATCTATGCTTTGAGCCTCAGATAAGTGGAATCACTTATTTGTGGTTTACAAATAGGTATAGAAGTGTTCGGTATTTTCAGGTAAATATTTAGGACTGAAAGCTGCTTCTCCTCCTACCTCCTGCCTCCTTTCACATGTGTGGATTTAATGAACTTTTCCACTTCCTTCTTTGCAGTGTCTGGGGGCGAGAGTGTGCAAGGAAGTGCTGACTGCCTTCCCAGGCTCGGTCACCAGACCTCCTCCAGCATTGTCCGCCTCAGCGGCTCCAACAATCCTGGTGCTGACCACATGTCAGGAGGATGCACAGGTGCGTTGAACAGGAGTGTGCCTTCCTGTACAGAGTAAATCCTGTCTGTATAACTAGTGAATGTTATAATCGTCTTAATTCTTCAGGGATTTTAAAAAATATCTCGGGCAGCCTCTCCTGGCATAGCTCAGTAGCTTTAGTTCTGTATTTATGACATACTTTGTTCAGGCCTTTGTTATAGCAAGGTGTAGGTGTGAACTTCCAACCTGTATGCTCCTGCAAGCTGATTGATGGGACTTTCTGGAGGGGGGAGGTGAGCCAGGTTTTAAATGAAGCATTGGTTTCTTAGTCTTCCTATCATTCCTGTTTTTCCAGAGGCAAAGAATAGTCCTTTGGATAGTTTAGGGAACAATACCCAGTATATTTTCTTTTCACAGGACTTTTATGTATTATTTTACATTAATGCAGCAATGCTTATATCAGTGAGTAAGCATATTAGCACTGTTTTAAAGATGAGAAGACTAAGGCATGGATCAGTGATTCACAGGTCACATAAATTATCACTAGTTAATGGAAATGTCAGATTAGGATCCAGGATAAATTTGGCCTCACAGATTTTGAACCAGGCCAATTTTAGGGCGTTAAACAAAGAGTTTCTAGTGTTAATAGTTAGATTATGGAATGACATTTTTTTATTAGCTTAATTTTGCATAATGTTAGGACACAAAAAAATATTGAAGTACTCGTGCTGTCAAGGCTGAGCTATCTCTGTTTGTAAATGGCCTTGATGCAGTGATGTATGTTTTCTTGCAGCGTTGTCAGTTATGTCTCTAGCTTAGGTGTAGACACACTATTTTTGTTTTGACCCACAAACTAACAATGGTTTTTATGGTTTTAAGTGTTTGAAAAATAATCAAAAGATGACTGATGTTGTATGGCACATGGAGTCATGTGAAAGGCAGGCACCATTGTTCATAAGTGAGGCCGTGCAGGGGCAGCAGGGTGAGAGGTGTGATAGTGGCAATGAGCCCACAGGGACTCCAGTGTTTACTCTGTAGCTTTTTGTAGAAAAGTTTGCAGAGCCCTGCACCAGCTATCCAAACAAACAAAAGAAGGTTCGATGACCTGTGACTCTTAACTTTGCATTTTTTTGTTAAGTAATTGTTATAACTAAAACATTAAAAATTTTATTAGTACTGTATCATGGATGTGTGACAATCATTTAGTCCTTCCTGACCATTTTAACATTTTAACTCTTAATAACTTGCCTGTGTTGATCCTTGTTATTGTTCCTTTATTTTCTTATTTTTTATATTTTTGAGTAGGAGTCACTCTGTTGCTCAGACTAGAGTGCAGTGGCACACTCACGGCCACTGCAGCCTTGACCTGCTGGGCTCAGGCGATCCTTCTGCCTCAGCCTTCCAAATAGCTGAAACCACAGGTACATGCCACCACACTTGGCTAATTTTTTGATTTCTTGTAGAGACGAGGTCTCGCCAAGTTACCCAGGCTGGTCTCGAACCCCTAGATTCAGGCAATCCTCTCACCTTGACCTCCCAGAGTGCTGGGATTACAGACATGAGCCACTGCGCCTGGCGCGTTATTGTTCTTACAGTGCTATTTATGCTTACTTTTCTGTTAAGATCTGCTTTTATGAATTTTCTTATTTAAATATGATTGTAAACCATTCTTTGATCTTGGCGTTTTGTCAGCATAATAAGCATCTGATCATCTGGCTTTCAGTGACCCCATATGCTGAGCAAGTGAATTTTATAAAAGCCTATCATAGATTTCCGTGGTGTGAGTTAGAGTTGTTAGTTTATGTGTGATATTTTTAGCTTGAAAACTTTCCCATCTGTTAAATGCTATGGGTTTATTACTACTGTCAAAGACTATATATGGGATTTATAGGAATACTTCTTTTTTTTTTTTTTGAGTTGGAGTCTCACTCTATTGCCCAGGCTGGAGTGCAGCAGCACACTCCCAGCCACCGCAGCCTCGACCTGCTGGGCTCGGGCAACCCTTCCTCCTCAGCCTTCCAAGTAGCCAGACCTGCAGGCACATGCTACCATGTCCGGCTAATTTTTTTTATTTATTGTAGAAACAAGGTCTCGCCAAGTTGCCTGGGTGGGTCTCGAACCTGTGGGCTCAGATAGTCCACTCACCTCGTCCTCCCAAAGTACTGGGATTACAGGCTAAGCCACCGAGCCCGGCGCACTTGTTTTCAATAGCTTTTTCATTGTATGCATACTAGAATTTAAAACATTTTTTCAGAATTAATATCTGTTAAACAGATACTGAATTATTGAGCATTTAACCCCAGAAAAGTTTAACTGTGGAGTGTTTTTCTAAACCTGATTCTAGTTTTAATATACCTTTCCTTTTTACCTTTAGATATCATGTCATATTTTAACATATTATAATGTATTCTATTTTGCTCTGGCCTGTTGGCTGCAGTGAGGCCCACTAGACAGTACTCATCCAGTCCACATTTGTGGGGCTTCTGCCACATGCAGTCATGTGCAGGTGCTGCTGGGGGTATGGTAGCAAACAAAACACAAATATGGATCCTCCTGGTGAAGGAGACAGGTGGAAGTAACAGGAAGCAGCAATCAAATAGTCGATTAAATGTGAAAATACTCCTGGGTTGAATACTGTGAAGAAGGGCAACAAGTTGCTGTTAGAACATAAAATAGACTGTCCTGGGTTTGGGGGTGTTCGTCAGGGAGGGCTTCCTTGAGAACATGATTTCTGAGCTTAGATCTGAGAGATGAGTGGAAGACAATAAAGACAGGACTGGGGAAGAGACACTGGAGGATGTGCACCAAGCAGAGGGAAGCACATCACAGCAGGTCAGAGCGCTGGAACGGGCTTGAGTGCCCACTAGGAGTGCTTTTAGCTTCCATCTCAGAAAATAGAATTAACAGTGGCTTAAACAAGTTGAGGTTTATTTTTCTCAAATAGAAAATCAGAGGTGGGAGCATTTGCTCTAGATGCTGGTTTGGAGGCATGGCCACTGGCAACTCCAGGCACACGTATCTGTTCAAGGCAAAAAGCACGGGAGGAGGAACACCAGCTACGTCTATTTATTTTGTCAGGAAAGGAGATGATGTTCCAGAAGCCCTCAGAAACTGCCAACGTCATACCATGAGCACAAATCATATCACAGAGCCACCTCACCCAAGGAAGTCAGTGGCTTGCAGCCTCTGTCAGAGATGTACAGCGTCCAGCCTCGGCTGGTAGGACTTGGCACATGTGTGAACTTAGGTCAAGTGAGCTCTTTTGTAAAAAGTTAGATAATAGACACGGCTCGACTGCTTAGCCTGTAATCACAGCACTTTGGGAGGCCACGGCAGGGTACTTACAGTCTGTTAGTTCTTCTGTGTACATGATCTTTACAACCCTTTAGAAATGTAAAGGACATTTGAAACAACTGTACAGAAACAGGCCTCAGGCCAGATTGGGCTCAGGAGTGTAGTTTGCCAACTGCTGGTGAAGTCTGATAACCAGCCTTACTTGTCTTCTGGTAGCATAGGGCCCTTTAAACGGTGGCTCAGCCTGTAATCCCGCGCCTTTGGGAGGCTGAGGTGAGTGGATTGCCTGAGCCCGCGGGTTCAAGACCCACCTGGGCAGCGAGACCTCATCTCTACAATAAATCAAAAAATCAGCCAGGCGTGGTAGCGGACGCCTGAAGTTCCGGCTACTTGGAAGGCTGAGGCGGAAGAATCGCTGGAACCCAGCAAGTCGAGGCTGCGGTGGCCGGGAGCGGCCACTGTACTCCAGTCTGGGCGACAGAGTGAGACCCCAACTCAAAAAAAATAAAAATAAAACATAAAAAAAAATAAATGCATTTCTAGAGTATTATCTGTGGGTTACAAGATTCTTCCAAGTCCTTGACAATATTTAACCTGTCAAGCAGAAAGTGCCCCCATAATATCAGATGAAAGTGTATCCTCAGTCATAAACTGATATTGAAAAAAGAATAGACGATGCTTCTCTGATACACTGTTTTCCTTGTTGATGGTCTATGCTTATTAGATGATATTAGACCATATGCTTTTATGACGTCTAGTGTTCTCTTATACCTTTCGTCCTGCCATCCGCATGCATCCCATGGCAAGAACAAGGCAAGCCTTTAGTACTTATCTGACTATCGAGAGCTGACTCTGTTGGATAAAGCATAGACAAAGAGCAATTGACAATATGCTTTGGAAATTGGCAGTGCTTTAGAAGACTTGCCCATGTGATAAGGACAGTTAAGGTCACCTGAGATCTAGATTTCTGCTTCTAGTCTTGTTATCTAAGCCATTTGGTAGAAAGCAGTGAACAATGATGAATAATGCAAAGTGACCATTCGCAATTGTCTGGTATAG